CATCCGTGATGCCTCCACCGGGTGAGATGTAGCTGCCCAAATAACAAAACTTATCCACCTGCTCCATTACTTCTCCCATACGTAGTTCCGGAGGCCCTCTTTTCTTTCTTTCCCGCCATAAATGTAAGACTGTGTTCGCCATTTCTGGAGTTCCAAAGGTAACTCATTATCCTCGGACGGTTACCACGGTAATGTGGGGAACAGGGAAGACGACTAATTGAAGTTGTCAAAACGTCGCTACAATCGAGTAGATTTTGAATGAATCGCCATTCCCTTCGGTCGTTCTGATGACCATTTGGTTCATCCGGATCGTCCAACTGCGGGACATCATGGATAAGGACGACCCTCTTATTTTCCTCCACTCGTGCTCTCATTGGATCGGACTGTTGCTGCATTCGTTCCGTCCATGGCCTATCAGGGAAGATTCTAATTGGGTAGGAACTCTTTCTGAGAAGGCAACTAGTAAGAAGAACGTCCTCCAAGTCCTTATTATCTTTCAGGGTCACCCGGAGCAGTCTGGGTTCCCCGGCATGTGGCTACGTCGGCTGGCGCATGAGTCTTGTGGAGCCGACGGGTAGAGCATTAATGTCCATCTGCGTGCACAAACCATTCCAGTGTTCCATCTCCTGTCCTTGTCGTTCTGTAAGTGGTTGGGTTATCCGTTCGGGTACATTTGTGCAGATAATTGTCAAACCGGTGCTGCTTCCACCTTTTCTACCTTTGGTGTGGATATGACAGGTTTCGTTTGAAGGAGAACCTTTTTCTGTTCAGGAACTGTAATCGCGTCTTTCGTGACAGTGGAAACCATGTTTATTTCGGCAAAGGTCATACATTGCGTCGGAGCACTGTTGATTAACGAACACCTTGGACGTTTAGTCAGTCGTTGGACTGGGCTCAACGGAGGGATCTGGGAGCTCAGGGTAGCTATCTTTTCTTCTGATTCCAAATTCTAAAAGTTAGCTTTATTCCCCGCAGCTAATAGTAGCTTCTCGAACCTATTTTCAGTACCCATCACGTATTTTATAACCGAAATTTTCGCGCAATCACTGCTAAACTAAAAGCATTCCTGTTGTGCCAGCATCTGTTTCATCTTCTTAATCGATAGATTGGCGCATGCGGCGTGAAAGTTCTTCTGGTAGTATGTGCATGGTATTCCTGTTTTGACCTCCTTTCCGCAGCCTGTCGAGCCGCACACACTCAAACTTTGTGTGACTAATTGCCTTGATAAACTTGGGCGACCCTTTTTTGGTGCACTGTGAACGGCGAGATGGGAGGGTGTTGACAAAGATCAAGTGAAGCGAAGTCGAATTGGCTGAGTGAACCACACCTCAGTGAGAAAAGTACGCGTGCAAGACTATGACCGGGGGCAACCGGTGCGTATCGATCGTTGCGACCGGAGATAGAGGGAAGGACACAGATGCAGACGCGGTGGAAAACTGAACAGAATTGAATAACACAATTTATATCCGTAGCTCTCTTAGAAATGATCACAGAGAGCTGAATACGACGAGTTTTGACAGAAAATCCACCAAAACCGAGAGCACACAAATTGAGCGACCGCAAGTCACCGAGTAACGTATTCATTAAGTAGAAGGGGAAAGGAAAGCTTATCGTTATTATTACTGTTATTATTTTATTATTATTATTATTATTATTATTTCTACGGAAAACTCAGTATACATTAGATTCCAGTTTGATTTAATAAAACACAATCCATTTTCATTGCTCCTTCTGACAGGTTTGGCCATGAGTTTATCCGCTACTGACTTGATACCAAGATCCATTACGCCAACTCCACGTGAAGTCGATCCGGGATCAAATGTGTCTGGTGAATCAAGGTCTGGACCCACATGTTACGCGATCGGTCCGAAATGTCTCGCGAAAGAACGCTTTCAGCTCACAGTACGTTTTCAGACGGTCACCGGTTTGACCTCATTGATCCCACTGGAACGTGAGTTGTCCTCAGAGGGACCTCCCGGATTCTATCTATCCTGTGAACTGCTAGGATCGGCCTGTTCGTCGAAACGGTTCGACAATTTGGCTCAGCACTCTTTTCGGGCAGATGAACACACGGTTTACGTGAAGTGAGTATTGGATCTACTTTTTCGCATAGTGTGGTTTTGTTTCAGTTATGGTTACTAGTATCTCTCGCCGAATCAGTTTCAGTTTGCAGTTACATTAATAATTTATTCCCGAGCTCTAGGTTTTGTTGCTCTTATTCGGCAACTCCTTCGGTTGCCTAGCTTTGGGAAGGGAGTAGAGTGCTCACGGTAGTGCACAGACCATAATGCAGAATGTGAATAAACTAGACATATGTCGAACTAACGCTTATGTTTACCACCCAATTCCATTCTGGATTATATCACGTTTGAATAAACTGTATGGTGTACGGAAGTACGCCAGCTTCTGATCCTATCATTCTAAGCCTATGATAACGTTGTCAGAATTTTAGCAGATTTCCGAAAGTATCTCATATTAGATGGTATATCATTTAATCAAATTTGAGGACCACGAACAAAGTTTTGCAAGAAAATGCTATTTTTCGTAATGAGTGCTTGTGAACGGGTTTTGTTGGACAAATTCTTTAGTAAACCGACAGGTTCTCAGTGACCATGTCAAACATTTTTGCCTACAGGTGGAACACCGGAATAGCGTTTTTTCCATTCTTTCTTCCAGACATCTATTGTTTATTTTATTCCGATTCATTTACTCACTCTTCGGTTTTCGTGTAGTATTTATTTCCTCGAAAAATCCCAAATCCGTCGTGAACCACTTTAGTCAGTAAAATATGAATCTGGTGCTAATGAGATTCAAACAGGGTGCAACAGCTGTCCAGTGCTTCCCAGCTTTTCAGTTCACGTTTCTTTTGTTCTTTACACGATGAAATTAGCCATATAAATAAACCAAATCCTCCATTTCTTTCATGTTACATATAAATGATAAACTGTGGGTATCTGTGAGGGTTTTGATCAAGCTTTATTTTGAATTTTTTCCTCTTCATGTTTTGCATGCAGTTGACTATTTTCAAAAGGAAATTTATGACGATATGGTATAGTGCTCAACGGTAATAGGTGTTTCAGTGTTACCTGGCAGCTCGTGAGTTAAGCCGTTGAACTACTTCAGGTTTAAATGAGATGCAGTTGTTGATCTCTCTCTCTCTATATATATATAAATACTTGAATCGGTTCTGTTGTTAATTCAGTAGTTTTGTATTTGTTCGAAAAAGTTCACATCATCGAGGGATTCTTGTCACGAAAGCTCACCGATGATGACAAGTCATTAGAAATGTGTCAAAGAGTACAGCAATCCTTCACCTTCACGCTAACGTTGTGGTACGGTGAATTTTACCAGATTATTTCAAGTTCAACGGCGAAAGTGTCGAAATTAAATATTATTTGGTCACAATGTGGACAACTGCGGTCCTAGAAAGGTAACAGTCTCCATCCCGCGACGGAAACCCAAAAACGTTTCTGGTCATCCTGCTTGATCCCGTACGAAATTTCTATCGCTATCTGAATCAAACGTTAAATATGTATCCTTATGTGACAACGGGGTCCCTATCCGTCTGTGGCTTGCGACGACTGTTATAATCGCACGGATCCTCTCAATACCAGATTCCTAAATCATCGTCCACCGATAAATTCTTTAAACCGGGTAGCGATTCTACCCGTTCATAAGAAAAAGGGTACTAGAGGGAGTAAAAATACACCGTGGTTGGTTGATTGGTTCGTTGCTAACCGTCTTGATTCTGATCCATAACCTCCGCTGGTTTATCCTCGATGTGGTTAATTATTTCAGAGCATACAGTTTTAATGAGTACACTCACACCGTGGTAATGGTCTTCTAAATCACCCTGACTTCTGATTACACTCGGTGATGATTCGGACGTCCCAGGATCAGATCAACAAAAAAGTAGCGGAAAACACTATCGGAGGTCTGATCAATATAATCGAGAAATTTCACTGCGATGTTCTACTCATGGGCTATACAGTTCGAGGTAGATTTCCAGTCGATTCGAGATTGAATATACTATAGCATGTTCGGATCATGCTATGCGGTTGATAAAACTGCAATATAAAAGTCGTGAATGTCTCGATTTCTCCACCATACTAAACAGTCGTGAATGAGTTCGGCAAATCAGTGAAATTGCAATCGAGGGGCATGAGAGCACATGTTACCCAGAGAGTAAACCAAGAAGCGGGGCCTTTCGCTGTGTGCGTGCATGTGTGCAAATGCGGCTTTGTAGAAACTGGAATGAAAATCGTCACTGCTTATTTTCTCAGGAAACCAATAAACGCGATGAGGAATAACCAACAGCATTTTGTGTAACGAACCCGTTTCAAAAAGTGGTGACACAATATCCTGCTGTATCAGACGCATAAACGCGAGTGCAACCATTGGAGTGTTTTCGGCCTATCCGAAAGTTGGTGTGGGTTATCAACACCACCAAATTGCTGAATTGTCTAGGCGAACAAGGTTGAGAAAACGATACCATTGTACATGTATACAACGGTATACAGTCAGGAGGACACTGAATGGATATTTCACTTCCAAACTATTCGAACGAGTTGGCATAATCCAGAAACTTCAATATACGATACATGGGTTTTTATCGAGTACTGGTGGCACAGAATATACTGGCGCATCGGTTCTGGTGCTCCAAATAGCCGTCGGGTTCTCAATTGACTCCAGCCAAAATATCAGTTCCATTGCTGCAGACAGCCAGCAGATAGGAATAACATATCATTTGCGTAGGTTTCTGCGTAGCTTAAACCAAGCTCTGGTGCACAAGCGCATACACATACAGTCTCCCTCCATTCCCAGCATGCTCGTTTGCATCTATGCGCTGACTGCAACGCCGATATCAGCGAGATGTGTGGAATATCAGCGAAAGTGGCTACTGAAACATTGTTATGTTGCTGCTGAGTGTTCGTACATCGAGGTTATCAAAGCGGTCGTTTGACTTGTCTGTGGTCGTCGAAATCCAACAGTGGTGTCATACAATATATATATATATTTCACCATACACTTTTTGATGTTATTTCGTGTGTCAGTTTATTGTTTTTATAGGGCACGGGATTTCAGCAGGCAGACCGTACAGCATATCATCCACCCAAATGTTTTCAAAAACTTCCTATAACAGACAATTGCTCTGCTATTCGCAATCTTTTTTACGCATTAATAATCTTTCATTCCTTTCCAATAGGCTTTCTTATTGGTTGTACAAGTGTGTTGTTGCAATACAGCCTTTCTGTGCCGAGGAAGTAATTAGCATACGAGAGGGGTTTGCAAAGCCAAAAATTGCAATTTTCTACAGTTCCGCAATGCAACTTATGAAATATCTTTTTTTACTGACTCAATACCTTGCAGATCAACTGTTAGTATTCTACGAGCCTACTTCGCCCAATCCACCCCATTGACGGTGAATTTGTGCTATGGTTCCCGATCACTGGCTCATGCCTTGATCCCAATTGATAAACTGATACGCCCAAACGATCGTCTACTGAATGAATCAGCACTGCTCGAGGGTAAATATGAGGTGAGTTGCTGTCAAACTGTTCATTATCATACTCGCACATCAGCATAAATTTATACCGCTCAATATTTCTCCTCTCATACAATGTCG